CAGAAGTTTTTCAGGCACCAAAACGAGTAATGTGAAAGGGCAAAGTAGAGCTGCAGCTACCCGAGAAGTGTAAGTCTCGCCTGCAGGGAGCAGTTGCTTCTCAGCTCCGGCGAATTTTGCCGGTGCAATACAGTGTCGCTAGATCCTCCCATTTTTCAAGTGATTTTGTAAGTACATAAGTGGTACACACCTGTAGTCCCAGCTACTATGGGAGGCTGAGGCAGGGGGAATCACAGCCTAGCCTGGGCATTTCAGAGATTTAGTGAGAGTCTGCCTCCAAATTAAAAAAAGAAAAAGAGCCAGGTGTGGTGGCGCATGCCTGTAATCCCGGCACTCGGGAGGCTGAGGCAGGAGGATCGCTGTGAGTTTGAGAACAGCCTAGGCTACATAGTGAGTTGCAGGTCAGTCTGAACTATATAGTGAGACCCTGTCAAAAAACCAAAAAAAAAAAAAAAAAAAAAAAAAAAAAAAAAAAAGAACTAGTTGTACCTCAGTGCAAAGGTGCTGTTTTTAGCACCTGCTGTTTTGCTACCGTGAAGCAGGTAGATAATATAGATAAATTAAATAATATTATTTCACCTAAGAGTATGGTCTCAAGGCCCATCCATTTAGCTACAAATGTCTCAAGCTTATCCTTCTTTATGGCAGAGCAGTACTCCATTGTATAAAAAACCCCCACATCTTCTGTATCTATTGGTCAATTGACGGGCTGGCTGTTTCCAAGATTTACCAGCTTAGGCAATTTAGGAACTTAGAGAAAACTTGTCTCAAAATTAAAAAAAAAAAAGAAAAGGAGAGAGAAAGAGCTATAAATGTATCTCAGTGAGAAGGCCCTTGGTTCAATCCCCAGTACCATGAAACCAAAAATCTCTCCAGACTGAGAGGACATGGAAGCAGTCGGGGGAGGGACGTGAAAGCTCTGCGCAAGGCCATATTTATAGAGGTGCCGTGAGCCACAGACTGAAGCTCCTGAACCCCGTAAGGAGGGTCCGGCCACCGAGGCTGAGAGCGTTTGTGCTACATCGACACCCTTCCGGAGGAGCATCCGTGTTGGTGCCATGGGGTCTCCCTTCGGTTGTTGCTCTTTCTCTGCTTTGCTTTTTCTGAGGCATTTTCTCTTAGGTTCCTTGCAAAAGTCAGATAATTGTCAAACCCGTGGCTCTCAGGTGACTGCGTATCGGTGCTCTTATAAATCACGTTTTTGTCTTGCAGCTCGTTTTCTGAGGTGGGGCAAGGTTAACTTCTGAGCTCCTGGTAGGAACGCATGGCAGACGTCAAGTACAGGTAGTGGTTTCAATCTGCTTCTGCCCGGCCTGCACCTGGCCCTGCCTTTCTTTTCATGAAATCTAAATATAATCCCCACCTCCCCCAGGTTAACCGGTAGAGCACCTTCTCAGCCTGGCTTGGGGGGCAGGCATTGTCTTGTCTCTCTCTTGGAAGGCTTTGATTCTGCTGCCTCCATTTTGAAAGAATCCCAGGGGCTTACTCAAGCCAAAGAAGGGAGCAGTCCTGATCCTCAAAGGCAGGAGCAGGTCAGGAAGTCTCTGCTAACTCATGCGTGAGAGGGCTGCGGCTCCACCCCCTCAGTGGATGCCGAAGCCTAGCAAACTTTCACCTTTTTACTTCAAGAACACATCGTATCCTTTCTTTTTGGCATATCAGAATTGCCAGCATTACTAATGTTGCACTTTGGGGCCATTATTATATAAAACGGGTATTACTCGAATATAAGCACCATGACTATAAGCCAGCCAGCTATGCACCTGTGGCTAGCATAAGCTGCATAAGCTGGACTAAAGGTTGATTTACAACACTTGAGGAGCAGAGGTGGATGGCGACAGATTCATTATGTTATAGAGAGTGCTATGCAATTTAAAAGATTGTAGAGGCCGCCGAGTGTGGTGGTCATCACGCCTGTGATCCCAGCACTTGGGAGGCCGAGGCAGGAGGATCGCCAAGAGTTCAAGGCCAGCCTGGGATACACAGTAAATTAAAGGCCAGCTGAACTACATAGTGAGAGACCCTATCTCTAAAGAAATGAAATACTAAAAAATAAAATAAAACTTATGGGTAATTTCTGGAATTTTTCATTTAATACTTTTGGGTCACAGTTCCTCTGGGTAACTGGAAGCTCACAAAATGAAACTGTGGATAAAGAAGGACAATAGCTATTCCTCAATGTGCTTGGGGTTTGGTCTCAGGACCACCATGAATACCATAATCTGTGGATGCTCAAGTCCCTTGCATAAACTGTTGTAGTATCTGCATATAACCTACACATAACCTCCTGTGCATGTACTTTAAGTCTTCTGTAATTATTTGTAATAATTAATAGAAAGTAAGTGGCACGTAAATTGTTACTATAATATATCACTCAGGGAGTGATTATAAGGAAAAAAATCTGTACTTATACAGTAGAGACATAATTGTTTTCCTGCTTTGTTTTTGTTTTTTGAGGCAGGGTCTCACTATGTAGTTGAGACTGACCTGGAACTCACTATGTAGCCCAGGCTGGCTTTGAACTCAGTGATCCTCCTGCCTCAGCCTCCTGAGTGCTGGGATTACAGGCGTGCGCCACCATGCCTGGCTTTTTTCCTGATTTTTGTTTTGTTTGTCTTTTGAGACACTGCATTGCTATGTAGTTCAGGCTGCCCTTGGACTCAATATGTAGCCCAAGCTGGCCTGGAACTTGTGGCGATCCTCCCACCTCAGCCTCCCAAGTGCTGGCCGATCATGTGGAACCTGCGGCTGGCAGAACTGACTGTACTGGATTGCTGTTGAAACCTGCTCCAGTGTGGTCTGACCGACTCATGTCTTCTCTAAAGTGATTCTTGCAAAAGCCCAGGTGATGTCCCACATAGATTCTAAGTACTGGATCTCAATTCCCACTCATAGAGAGAGCTACTGTTGCCTGGAACATCTGGTCACACGGCTGGTGGTGAGAGCCTTAATTCTCCACTGCTTGCTGTGCTAGATCCAGTCCTCTGCAGATTAAGCCTCTCTGAACTTCCTTGAGCAGCCTGGAGCCCCTCTTCTCCCCAGTGCGTTCCCATGTGGACTTTGCTGCCAGTTGGCCTGCAGCCTACTGTGTTCCCTTCACTCTGAACTTTGGAGAATAAGGGACTACGATCTCCTTTTCCTCTTCTTCAGCGTCCACTGGGATGACGATGATGATGGCCATATTGTGTTAGTTTCCGTGACTGTCATAAGAAAGTACTGCACCGGCGACATAAAAAAACCAGGGCTTTATTCTCTCATGGCTCTGGAGCCCAGAAGTCCCAATTTCAGGTGTTAATGAGGCCATCCTGCCAGCAAACCTCTAGGAGAGAATCTCTCCTTGCCCTTTCCCGGTGAGATTTCTTGGCTTGTGCCTACATGATACCAACCTGTGCCTATATCTCCACCTGTCTCTGTCTTTTTTCTGCTTCATTTTTACTACTTTTTTTTTTAAATGTGCTATGGATAGAACCCAGGGCTTCATGGATGTGAGGCATACACTATACATTATTAGTCCTCCTTTTCTTTTTGTGATACTGGAGATTGATACTGACGTATATCTCTAGCTCTCTTTTATTTTTATTTTGAGACATGGTCTTGCTAATTGCTAAATTGCCCAGGTTGGTCTTGAAGTTGTGATCCTCCTGCCTGAGGCTCCCAGAGTACTGGGATTACTGGTACCTATGGCCATACTCTGCTTTTACTTGTTATCTATGTAATCTAGATAAATGTATTTTGAGATTTTTAATTTTTGATTTTTATGTTTTGTTTTTTTTCAGACAGGGTCTCACTGTGTAGTCCAGGCTGGTCTCAAACTCATGGTGATCTTCAGGCATTAGCTTCCTGACATCTGGGATTACAGTTTTGTTTTGTTTTTTGGTACCGGGGATGGAACTCTGGCCCTTGCGCTTGCAAGGCAGGTGCTGCAACCACTGAGCTAAATCCCCAGCCAGTATCTTGAGCTTTTTAATGACATCTGTAAAGACTTTTTCCCAAAATAAAATCACATTGATAAGTTAAAATGTACACATATCTTTCTGGGGGCCTCTTCCACCAACTATATGTCATTTTATAGATGAAGCAATTTTGGCTGAGTTATGGGATTTACCTAAGGCAAATTCATTGTCCTGTACCATAGAAGCCCGCCCACTTGAGAAGGAGAGTGGACTTTGCAAAACTTCACACCTATGGCCAGGTGTGGTCACACACATGTAATCCCAGCAGTGGAGAGTCTGAGGGAGGAGGATCATTGTGAGTCTGAGGACGGACAGCTACACAGTGAGTTCAAGGCCAGCCTGAACCACATAGTGAGCTCTTGTCTTAAAAATAAGTAAAATAAAATGAAATATCTTTAGTAGTCTCATCATAAGATATCAGCTCCCGCTTACATTACAGTTCTATAACTAATGGAACCGTTCACGTATCCAGGTGAGCTTCTTGTTTCAGATGGGTGCCACCAAGCCTGAGGGTATAACACTGCCTCATAAAGTTATGGCTCACAGTCTCATCTTTTCTTTTTCCCCTTCTTTTTTGGTACTGGGGATCGAACTCGGGTCCTTGCGCTTGCGAAGCAGTCAGGGGAACCACTGAGCCAAATCCCCGGCCCTTAAGGACCTTATTCTACCAATGAGTTCAACTTGTCTCTGTCCCCTTCCACAATCGTTTCCTTGAACAGGAACAAGAAAAACTGCCTCGGGTTTCATCTCTTTTTATTATTCTCAACTCTCTTCTCACCATTGTGGAGTGCAAGAGTGAGAAAGCTGAGACCAAGGAAGGTGCAGTAACACAAACTCTGGGTCCTAAAAGCCTGCATGGAAGATTTCAGCGCTCTTGTGAGGCGTTCTCCGTGAGGCTGCGCCACACTTCAGCTCAGAGATGGCTCTGTGGTCATGGAGCTGGCCTCGTAGGGATTCCTCACCAGCTTGGCGCACCGAAAAATCATCACTACGAGGAAGAGAAACAGGAGCACAAGAAAGACGATGGCAAAGCCTTGGTCCACGTCCACACTGCTGGACAGGCTCGCCTCTCCCATGGGGACAGGCACTGCTCCACGGCTGTCCAGCTGCAGCTACCTCTCCAGGTGTGTCTTCAGATTGGTCATAATCCTAGGCAAAAGAAGAGAAAACAAGTTTGTGTGTGTGTGTGTGTGTGTGTGTGTGTGTGTGTGTGTGTGTGTCTGCATTTCCTCCTAACACTGTGGAAACCAAATAAGGGCCAAGGTTTGGAAAAAAAAAATCATCAAGATTCATGTAAGAAGCACTTCAGAAACCAAGAAAGCTAATACAGATGACTAAAAAGACCTGCGCGTACATAAAAGCATAAGTCATCTGAGGACTTCCTCCAAGGCAAAACACAAGGGCCGCGGTTGTGAGGCCCCCCCCAGAGGTCTGTATACAAAGGTTTGGTCCCCAGAGTAGTAGTGTTTGGAGGTGCCATGGCGGTGAGGCCTCATGGGAGCCACACTCTTGAAAGGGATTATGCGTCTCTATCTCCTCTTCCTCCATTTCCTGGCTTGAGCTGTGAGCACCCGTCTGGTAAATGCTGCCTTCAGCAGAGGCCCAAATGAACAGGGCCGCCCAGTCCGGACTTGAACTTCGGAACTATGAGCCTCTCTTTACTCCATCGATAGCCTGTGTCTGGTCTTTCGCTATACAGTGATGCAAAGCCAACCCATACAGTGAGTAAGTGTATGTAACCCAGAAATCAGCTGGTGCAGCTTTTCCTTGCCAGATGCAGGTAAAACTATCTTGAACATCTCATATCTGCACGAAGTCCAAATCCCTCTAAGATTTTTTCAAATTCCCATTCCCCCACTCCCCACTCTGGATCATTATGTTTGACTGTGTTGTTATTCTCAAAATGAAAAATCAGGTATATCCCAGAAGGGATCAATTTCAGTTTTTAAAATTTAGTTCACCCAACAATTCTGGAAAATAATAAAGTAATGAGACACACTTTCCAACTTCAAGACTCATTACAAAGCTACAGAGATCAAAACAGTATGATACTGGAGTAAAGCAACATCCCCCCTTCAAATTTTGAACAGGTTCTCACTAATTTGATGTTTCCCAGGATGGGCTCAAATTTGTGATCCTCCTGCCTCAGCTTCCGGGAGTTGCTGGGATTACAAGCATGCGCCACCATGCCTGGCGCCTTTCTTTGTACATCCTGTGGTGGAGTGAGGATGGAGCTGGTAGAAATATGCTTGACTATAGCTCCTCTTAAGATGTGGGAGAGTCCTGGCCCCAAGGGCTGCAACAGAACAGAAGGGTGCTTACTGCCCTCGTCCTGACTTGGGGCTGAAACCCAGTTCCGAGGCGATGGGATAAGCTGCACTAGCATCCTTGACACTGGGGTTCTCGCGGCCACATCCTGGGCCCCCGTGCAGATGGACTGGACAGAGAGTGTAATGTCCTGGTAAAAGGGTGTAGCTTGGGCTTTGTTTTCTTTTGAGACAGGGTCTCACTATGTACTGTAGTTCCAGCTGCCCTTAAACTCACTACATAGCCCAAGCTGGCCTTAAATTTGCAGCGATCCTTCTGCCTCAGCCTTCCCTGTGCTGGGATTACAGACATGAGGCACCATGCCCAGGTAAAAGGGCAGTTTTAAAAAATGAAAGATGTGTTGTGGTAACCAGATTGTCTAAGAATCAGTGAAAAGCAGAGGAGTTGGCAGGACAGACATAACAGGCTATGAAGTGGGACTCGTTTTCATTACTGCTATGGTGCAGAGGCCCGAGCTGATCAAGAGGTAGGAGGTGCTCTTTGTGTGGGGGCCAGCACGCCTCGCAGAACTCACTGGACTGTAGTTATTTTACTGTATTTCCCCATCTAGATTCTTCTTTTTTGGTACCGGGGATAGAACTCTGGTGCTTGTGCTGGTGAAGCAGGCACTGGAACCACTGAGCTAAATCGCCAGCTCTCCATCTCCGTTCTTAAAGCTACTTATGTGTACGGTATCCACACGGTAGAAAGACCGCACACAAGTTTGCACGTTTCCGATGTGCCGCACCCACCTGTCAGTCTGTGTGCAAGGAGCGGCAGGTGGTGCGAAAACACGGTAGAACATACAAGGCAAAACATTTGTGGAAAAGAACTTATGAGAGCCAGAGTTCCAAAGGTCATGTCGACATTTCCATGTAACATCTTATTACATATTCAGGTTTATCTCATTTCAGAACATAGTTCTGATTTTGAGCACCAACCTTCACTTTTCTGGTGGACACAGCATTTTTTTTTTCCTTCCTACCCCACCCCCCCACCCCTGGTACCAGGCATCAAACTCAGGACCCTACACTTTCGAGGCAGCTAGCAGAACCAACTAAGCTAAGTCCTCAGCCCTAAAAAGCATGCATTTTCACGTGAGTGACATCGTATATGGCAAGAATTCTTAACAGCATGGGCAAGATGAAAAAAGACTCACATTTTGTCATTATAAGGTAATAAGTATGGTATGCTATCATTTATAAGGCTATGATAGATCTGTATATACTGATATAGGAAGATATCCTTAACATATTGCATTAAACAAACAAGATGTAAAATAAACACAGCTAGCAGGAGCTTCTTTTTGCTTTAAAAAAACAAAATTTGAGAAACTCTGTCCGCTGGGCATAGTGGCGCAAGCCTGTAATCACAGAACTTGGGAGGTTGAGGCAGGAGGATCACTTCCAGTTTGATATAAGTATGGTATGCTATCATTTATAAGGCTATGATAGATCTGTATATACTGATATAGGAAGATATCCTTAACATATTGCATTAAACAAACAAGATGTAAAATAAACACAGCTAGCAGGAGCTTCTTTTTGCTTTAAAAAAACAAAATTTGAGAAACTCTGTCCGCTGGGCATAGTGGCGCAAGCCTGTAATCACAGAACTTGGGAGGTTGAGGCAGGAGGATCACTTCCAGTTTGAGGCCAGCCTGGGCTACATAATGGGACCGCCTCAAAAAACCAACCACCACCCCCCCCCCCCCGGCCGGGGATTTAGCTCAGTGGTTCCACCACCTGCCTTGTAAGTGTAAGGACCCAAGTTCAATCCCTGGTACGGGGGGGGGGCGATTTAAAAAAAAGCAACCTCCCCCCAAAAAGAAACTGTCTCTGTATGTTTGGTTATATATGCTCTTAAAGTATCAAAGGATATGCAAGCCAGGCTTATCTCTGAGAAACAATTGGGAGTAAGATGGTAGGATAGAAAAAATTTACTTTAAATCTTTCTGTACTGTTTGATCTTAAGAAATAAAGCCGGCAGGAGGCTGAGACAGGAAGATTGCCATGAGTTTGAGGCTGGCCTGGGCTACATAGTAAGACCTTGTCTCAAAGAAAGAAAGAAAGAAAGAAAGAAAGGGCAAGCAAGCCAGCCTATTGAATTTATAACTAGAACAAACAGATCCTAGCTCCCACTTCCGACTAATTGTTGGCAGGATATCAATGACCAAATATAGCAAACACTTTCATATTTTAATATTTCCTTTGGAAAGGCACAATTTTTGGAAGACTAGCCATTCTACTAGCAACTTTCTCTCCTTTGTTATGGATTCTGAGCAAATAAAAACAGATTTTGTCATTATAAAATATTAAGTAGAATTAATTTTCATTACTTTTTTTTTTCTTTTTGTCTTTTTGACATAGGGTCTTGCTGTGTAGTTCAGACCGGAATTGAGCTGACTGTATAAGCCAGGCTGGCCTCCAACTCACAGGGATCTTCCTGCCTCAGCCTCCCAAGTGCTGGGACTCCCAACATGTGGCATCACACCCGGCCTTCAAGCAAATGGTCCTCCTGACCTGTGGTATTTATACAACACACTGCATTGTAGGTACCCGTTCTCCTCTGCACAAGTAGTTTTGCTTTCATCTTTAAAGAGTACAGTAAGTAGCCTCAGGTGAGAGGTTATAAATTTTATCTATGTAGTAATCAGTTTTGATCTTTCTTTCCACATGTGAAGTGTTTTCCCAGAAAACTAAGCAGAAGGTAAAGCCTGAGGTATCCATAGCCCATATGGAACTTCCATCTTTTCTTCCCCAGGATGGAAGAGGTGTACTATTATTGCCTTACATTCAGCTTCTAAACACACTTCTGGAGAACCAAGATGAGCTTTTTCAAATGCCAATAAATGAGTTAACTTGATACTGCGATGAAGAGCTTGTTCCTTTCCCCCTGCTGCTCTTATATGGAATGTAATTTTTTCATAAAAATTTAGTTTCAGTGAAGAGAAGTTGCACCTTGAACCTGTGTGACATCCAGGCAACTGCATCCAGTCACCCATCTCAGGTGCTGTATAATCTGCAGAAGAAGTCACTTTCCTGACAGGCTCCTCACTGCCCGTCCACCTCTGTGATGGAGACCTTTACACTCTCAGGAGATTTTACATTTTTTCCATCTGGGCTGCAGGTGGCAACTGTGGGCCCCGCCACTCACATCCTTGGCTGTGCTTAGGGGACAGAGGACCTGGGGACAGGACCACCCCCTGTGGGCCCCTGCCTGCCCCTCAGCCCTGCTCCTGGGGACAGGGATTCCCTGCAGTACAATTCAAGATCTTGCCCGGTGACCCAGCCTGGCAGGCACCCTTTCATCTCATTTGATGAGAAATCCTGGGCCAGCGTCTCTCTCAGGACACTGCGATCTGCCCGACACAGGAGAGACTCTGAAGGCTGTGTAGGGAGCCTGGGCCTTCCACTGACAAACCTGAGTCACAACCAGGCCTTGCGGATGGATTGAGTTTGTAAGTCAAGGGTCCACCGTATTGTGGTATTTGGCACGAGGGTGGAGCACTGCTTGCCTGTGGGTGGGTTGGTTTCTAATTCACACCAGAAAAGAATAGAAAAGAAAAGAAGTTGGCTGGCCTGGGCCACACAGCAAGTTCAAGCTTAGCTTGGACAAGCAAATGAGACCTTGTCTCAAATAAGACAAAACAAACAGACAAACAAGAACGAGGAAGAAGAAAAGAGGCCCAGCTGAAAGAACTTGGAGCAACAGAGAAGAGGACAGAGTTGAAACTGAGCAGAGCAGGAGGACCCCCCATGGCCCGCTCGGCGGCAGTTGAGAGCTCGTCCGGGGAACTTCCGTTAGGATGACGTTACCTCCGCTGAAAGCTGCTGCAGGTAACCCTGTTATAGTCAGCACTGTATCATTTATTGTTTGGTACTGAGGAGCGAGCTTGGGTCCTTGGCGTTTGTGAGGCAGGCGGCGGCCCCACCTTGTACCTTTTGTCCTCGCAGTGTTCCACGCCTCAGAGGTGCACAGACTTCACCCTCATCCCCAGGCCTGTCCGTTCACACTCTCCTGCATTGTTCTCCGTCCTCCACAGTCACCCTTGAGGCCTTCGCTTTCCCTGGCAGATCTTCTGTGAATGGCCACTGTAGTTTATTATAGTTTCTGTAGTCTCTGTATTCTCTGATGGAGTTATAATCTCATGAGAGTAAGGACTCACTATTTTTGTTTCTTTTTTTGTTTTGGTACAGGGGGTCGAACTCAGGATCTTGTGCTTGTAAGGCAGACATCATGCCACTGAGCTAAATCCCCGGCCCCGTCTCTGCTTCTTATCCCTAAAGTCTGGGAGATATTAGATGCTCAAAAATACATGTTCCATGAATGCTAAAGTGGGCATGCAAACGTGTTTCTTGAATGAATGGATGTCTTTGAGATGTGCCATTGACATTGATCTAAAGGAAGCAGTGTTCACAGAGTAGTAAACAGAGGATCTAAACTGGGCGCGGGTGGTGCATGCTTGTAACCCAGCCCTCAGGAGGCTGAGGCAGGAGGATCGTTGGGCGGTCAAGGTCAGCCTGGGCTACATCATGAGTTCAAGGCTACCCCGAAGTATATAGCAAGACCCTGTCTCAAAAAAAAAAAAAAAAAAAAAAAAGGACCTAGACTTGGTGGAAAAAGCAGGAAAGGGCAGTGAGGAAATGAAGATAGTAAGATTTTAAATCATTTATGAGAAATTGGACTAGAGAAGAAAGAGGAGAAGTAAAATAGCAGCTGGAAGCCTAGTGCGGATTCAAGTGAGGGTTTCTTCTTCAAAGGTAGGGTAGAAAGGTATCGGGCAGGATGCTTTTGTTTGCAAGTGACAGAAAAGCCCACTCAATGGAAAATTTACAAAATAATACGGGGACCCGGGATGTAGCTCAGTGGCACTGCGCCTGCCTCACAGCTCAAGGTCCTGAGTTTGATCCCTGGTACAAAACAATTAATAATAATAATAATAATAAGGGGCAGGGGACGCAGCTTAGTGGTGGAGCATATGCTCGGCTGGGTCCAGGCTCCAGCACTATGGAACTTACAGTCTTGAGAGGCTAAGAAGTCCAGAGTGAGGCTGACTTTAGATATGGTTAGTCCACAGGGTCAAGGTGTCACCGAGGATCTGCCTTCTGTATCTGCGGTTTTCCCAACCCTGCCTTTCTTCTGTGGGGATTTTATCCCCAGGTTGGCTTTCCTTATGGTCATCAACAATGGATCCAACCAATCCCGACTGTATCCCCTACATATCGTCCCTCCCGCTTCCATTCCAGAGGAAAAAAAGAACAATCCTATATTAGTCATGATTGTTGTGTGAAAACAGAAGTGAACTTTTC